TCTTTATAATCTCCGGAACAATTATACTAAAGAAATATCTTCTATTCAAACGTATCTTGAAAGGGTTTTATATTTCAAATGAGGTCAACATCGAGATCATTAAATATGTCTTTGAATGATTTTCTCCTAGTATATTTTAACTACTAGAATAACCCGTCGGGCAAAAAATTCCTTGCATTGTGAAGCACCGACTCAAAATTTGGACTTCTATGGTATTGCTTTTCATTTAAAAATCACTTCCAATGCATATCTAGTTTCTTTCAAGAAAGCTTCGGGCTATAATGTGGTCGTAATACTGACTTTAAAATATGCAAATTTTAGAAATATCATGTTTGTGAGAATATCTTCTGAGGGGTAAAAAAGAAACTATTCGGCTCCAATTATGGTCGGAAAAGACCCTTAGATTAATTCAACTTACTTCTGTCTTAAGAGGTTTCCGATGATCTTTTTGCTTGTATGTTTGTGTTGGGATTCCCCGCCTTCCCCACTCGTTCCTCTTTTGGCTTTGACGTTATTTAATCTGACAGGCACAAGCCTTCGTTTCCACGATTAACAGAAAAAAACAACAACACTTTTTGGAGATGCTTGAATTTCCTCCTATTTATATTTTGCAGGTCATATTTCCATACAATACTATACTCACAAGCATGCAAAGTCTATGTTTTGTCGGATCCATTTTTTCATGCAATACGAAGTGAGCTTAATGATAACGACCGTTAACAGAAGATCTATGGTTAAACTTTTAATAGCTTTGCTAGCTCTTGTAAATACGCATGATGGCATCAGTAAAAGGGCATAAGTAGCGTCTTAATGACTTGTGATCCATCCGACTTCCCTGGTACGTTAGAGCTTAATAAATCAAATCATCCGACAGTAAATAAGAAATCCACAGTTAGGAGAGCTGGATAACATATATTTTGTGTTGCAGTTTGCATGTAACATGCCACGCAACAGCTCGAGATGCGGTTGTTATTGTGTCAACTAGCCCACCATATTGGACGTGAGAGTGAGAGGACTGGACCAAGTCGAGGAGTCACGCAACCTTCACTGAGTTTTAAGTAACGCAGGTTTGTCGACCATCACTTGCGGTAATCACAGGAATTTGCTAACTGTAGAAGAGGTTCATAATACGAAGGCTTAGGATTAGTACTACCTATAATTTCAAAGTCGAAAAACTCGCACGATGACAGTAGTTGACTGAGTGTTTGCTTTTGAAACACCTTGACTAATTTTCCCTTGGCAGAGAGTTTGCGAAAGCTGAAATCTTCATACAAAAGAGAATTGGAAAACAACCAAACTATTTGTGAAACATGTGTCCTAAATCCTCTTCATAGGGAAAAAAATTTAAGGAAAATCTCTTTTCGACGGGAAGTTGGGAGGACCGCTCTTAGCAAGAGCGGCACTTAAAAAGCCATCTGCTACATTCATGCGCGTGTATGAGCCCTTTCTTATATTTTGAATTACCTGTACTCGTAGCTTTGGTATCACCCGGTCTTCCTCTCGCCCGGACGCACCTGACCCCTTGTACTTGTGTTTTAACCAAGCAGTCATGTCATCATCACGAGTCATTCTTGATTCGTGCAGAGCCCATGACAAGGCACCGCACTGATCATTTACCCCTCCAAAGGAAAAAAAAGCGCTATCGTAAAATTATCCTGAACCTTCCTATCGCTACACTCTTAATAACTGATAAGAACACAAACATTTACACTTGAATAGAGGGAGGGATGGAAACTCGGTCCAGTCCTAATACTCTCACGTCTAAAATGGCAGGCCCTATTGGCATCATCACATGTCTCGTGTGGAATATTTCATTTAAACAGCAAATATAATTTTTTGTCATCCACCTCTTCTGACTGTGGATTCCCTCTTTGTTGGGTAGTTCCATTTATTCAGTTCTAAAGTACTTAGGATCTCTGGTGGATCCCAAGTCTCCTGGACGGTGCTCACTGCGGCACGTAAGCTTATGTATGCATGGTCATGCTCGCGTAGTGATGAATATTTGCGAGAGCTATTCAGCCCATTCAAAGGTCAGACGTGAATCATCTTTTAACGATCGTTTTATATTTAGCTTAATGGTTAAGGCTGGGTTAAGGTCATTTTATTTTCAAATAAAAAACGGCTTGACAAAATATAGAGACTTTGCATGCTTGGAGTATGACATGTATGGAAATATGACCTAAGAAACATAGATCAGAGAAAATCCAAGCATCTTCAAAAAACAGTCATATCTAGGTCAGAACATCATCGTTTGTGCTCTATGATGGGTTCAAGGTTTTCATTTATTACTTTTTTTTTTACTTTATTTTGCTAACCGCTAGGTGTTTGTAGTGCTAATCAGAGGCCTTCTTAGTGCATTTGTAAGCTATGAGTCGAGGTATTTCTAGATTTTGTCACTGATTTGGCTTTGATGTTTCATTTTCACTCACCTAATACAAAATTAAGGCCTTATGTCAAGAATTTTGTTTGTCAATATCATGAATTATGCTCAAGACTCCATTTTGCTTGGCCCTAGAGGAGCATGGAGAGTTTGTGCCAAAAACCTAACAAATCTTAATAAGCCAATTTTTTCTCAATTGATTTTGATAAGTGGGTCACTAAACTANTGCATTTGTTCAGTAATAGATCGCAGATCGATGACATCGTTACGTGGTAAGCACAAAAAAGTGGCACACGAAAGCGCAACCAAGTTTGTCACTAAGGAGACCCACAATAACATGTAATCTACTTTCTTTATATATGATGAAAAAGCAAAGTATCGTAAATGGTGACGTCATCTATGCGTATATCCCTTTAAGAGATCGTACGTAAGAACCGATCAAAATGCTTGTAGTATTCAGCTTATTATATAACTATTAATAGGGGGAAATTGGAACAAAAAGTTGGATGGTTTTTAAATCACAAGGTAACTTAATATGTTACAAAAACAAAATTAATGAACCAACATATAAATCAAGAACGGAAGTGATCTATCAGTAAACCACCAAACCACCGATCAATTTATCGATTGATCGATCCCACGTCAATCTGGAGGTACGCTATGAAACTAAGCTTGTGGAAAAATGCTTAATGTGTGCGATCCTTGCTACTAATTATCAAATATACCCAATAAACCCGATCGTTACATTTAATACCTTTGTAAGAAATGTTTTGACAGCATGACATGTTATGTTACAGCTTTAATAATCGTTACTTTTGCTTTCATGTTGCTAAGTGATTGAACGATCGAATTTCGAATTATGCGACATGTAGATGGGCTTTTAGAAGCACGTAGGGAGTAGCTGAGATATTTAGATTATTAAAAACGTTTAATTCTACAACGCGAGTCTTCAGTGTCACAGGGAATTGGGGCCGGTAATTAGATTCCCCACACCTTTGAATTGCACAATCGAAAAGACTTTACTATTACATTTAAATTTGAGGAACCTCTACAGCAAATAATTATTTAATAAGAGTCTTCTTAGGAGATGTGGCAACTTGTCTGAAGTTAAGGGTTCGACTCCTGTAATATAAAAAAAAATAAAATAAAAAAAAAGAAGAAGCCGTGGACGGTCTAGGTGATCAAAGGTTCTTGAAAACGCGAGGCTGTAAGGAAAAATTTCTACTCTTTTT